CCATTGATCATACCGGGAACCATAATTGCCATTTTTCATGTGATTCATATAAAAATTCTGTACTAAGTGAATCACGAATTTTGCAGTAAGTATTGATTCTGATATCCTGAGTTACATGTACTTCAACTTCCATGGCAACGAACGTCAGTTTACCAATACCTGGTACCATGCATATGAGCAAGAATCTTGGCACTGTCTTGTCTTGGTACAGTTCCGAAGTGAGGAATAGCTACCCCCAACGTGGATTATTCCAAAGACAAGCCCAATTTGTGGAGGGTTTTGTAGAAAACCTGGCAAATTGGTCGATGTGCAGTTGTTGAGGTTCTCGTCGCCCTGAACAGCGACGTCCTTATGTCTTCCGTGTCCGCCATTCTGTCGGCCATATTTATACGCTCTCAGGCACCAATACCCAGACCTCCACGTTGTGACCCCGGGGGCGACCACTGGGATGGTTTCACGGTTCGGCCCAAAGTCTCTAAATCAAAAATTAAATACTCTTGTTCGCTTCTTATCAATGTTATCGTTTTTTATATAATAATCAAATCAATACGCGCGCTCTGATTGGTCAATCAGCTATGGTTTATTGTGCCAGTAAACTCATGGAAATTTCACGTGTCTTCCGAATTATTATATAAAAGCAATAGACCACAAGTTTCTATGGTTTATAGGCTGACAAACCACTTGGGATGTTGGAAGAACACGAGAAGAATTCGAAGAATTCTTATGGTTGATGATTTTACGGCTATTTGCAAAATTAGGTAACTTGCTTAGGCCCTTGCTTACAATGAAAAACTGGGTCTGTGCAAAAGGCTTTTGTTGTGAAGGGCTTTTGTTAATCGGTCTTGTCGATAATGATGAAAAAGTAGCTTCTTCTGAAAAAAAAAAAAACATGCTCAAGGGTGTGCAAAAACCAGACGCTGGTCTTATCAATGAAAAAGAAAAAAGTAGCTTCCTCTAAAAACTTGCCCAAGAATGCGCAAAAACCAGTGCAAAAACTAGACGCTGTTGATGATCAAAATGACTATAATCGATACCCTATTTATGGTCAAAACGGCTGAAAAACCGTATGCTTTAGGGCCGCACTTACTTATAGAGGCCATATAAGGGAGTACCCCCCGGGCATGCGCCGTACCGTGAAACCCTCCCTTTAAGTACTGGAAATAAAAATCGGTCTAAGGAAACTTTTGGCCGATAAATATTGGTAGAAAAGGTGAATTGAAGTATATCCTGCCATTTCAATTGGGTTGTATAAGCGAATAGCATTGACAGTAAAGGGGATTTATATTTTAGGTCCCGGAATATAGGCCTTAGGGGGCTAAAAGACTCAGGCGCACAGGAGTCTTATTTGACCTTCATTAAAATTAAATTAAATTCAATCTTTAGTTACAACCCGGGGTCGGCGGGAGACTCCAAGTAAGAAAAGGTCGGGGGCGCCCGTACAACGCCACTATCTTTAGCTGTCAAAGCATCTTTTAGGGTGCACTCGAAGGAATACTACTAATAATAAATGCTCGTATTTCCGTTTTTAGGTTCGATTTCCGTCGGTCTCTCGAGTCCCCCTCGAGGCCTACTAACACAGGCCCCATTCGTGAACACTGAGCTGCTTGTAATTTAGCCTATTCCGTTTTAAGTGGTATCTGTTAGAGGTCAAATATTGTTCAACCCACAACCAGATTGGTCTTCTTTAGAGGTTTATTTTAAATTTTCCGACGACCATCCCCAAGCTTGTCATAGGAGAGGACCCGCCGAAATTTACAGCACAAATCGGTCCAGTGCAAGGTCGTGTGATTGTGGAGAACGTCAGGTTAAGTTCTGTTTAAGGGCCTGTTTACAAGGAGAGAGGGCTACCCTAGCAAGCGGTTACCCTAGCAGTCACACATTTCCTCTTGTTTTCTTCGTCGTCTTTACAAGGCAGCTAGGGTTACCCGAGTAAGCGGCTTACCCCATCTGCCTGCTAGGGCTACCATGGCAGGCGAGTTAACTTTTTCCCCTGTGAACACTTCAAGTAGGGTTAACTCCCCTACCCAGGTTAACTTTCCAATTGTTTCCAGACCCTTTGAGTGTAACCGCGCATTTAGGTCGTCCCGGGTTGTAGGGTTACCCTACCTGCGAAATTTTGATTGTAAACCCGGGCCATCTTTTGCCCTCCAGCTAGGGTTAACCCGCTTGCTAGGATAACCCTCCTTCCTTGTAAACAGGCCCTAAGGCACGGAACAGATTTTCACTAAGCGCGCAAATCCGGTTGAGTTGCAATTGCAAGCTAAATAGTGACATAACGTTCACTACTTTACGCGGGCGTGCTCAAGACACGAAGTGACACTACTGTTAGTCTAAACAACGCTCATGTTAGCCTTAATATTGCTGACTCGACAGTAGCTATCTCTCAATAATATGGAAGAGTTAAACCTTACAGACAACCGCATCCCACATTGACTCTTACCAGTGGAGCTATCTCGTCATTTTGTCACTTTGTGTCGTGCCCCCTTAGCGCGTTGCTACTCAGTCCAGACCCTGCTACCATATATGTACTTACCACCTTACGCTTAACGCTGATTTCCGTACGCGTCCCTGGAGCTACAAGAATACGATTCCAAGGGTTGATGTATACCCCCTGATGGTGTACAATGATCCAGATCCCCTCAGAGGAAAAGCCGACCATGTGGTCATGCAAATTTAGATCTAGTATCAGCGACAGACCGGACAACGTGTCGCCCTGAAACGCTTTCAGTATTTGCTCGCCGTGCCGCGCCGCGTTGAATGAGTAGCAAACCCCGAGGTCTGTCACAATGGGATCGAAATCTTTGTGGGAGCATCCCTCATCAGACAATCCGTAGTGGCAAGTTCCCGGTACGATCATTCTGCGTATATCAGAACCATAAGCTTCGTGAAATTGCCTGTCGTTAAATGAATCCTTTTTCTTCTTTATGACCTCGAGAAGATCTTTCCTGTAGTCCTCGGTGCAGTTAGGGAGAACCACAGAAATCTCACTGTCAGTATAATCTGTGCAACAACACAAAAGTGCTTCCCCGCATGGTCTCCCTGCCCTGACAGCCGCTGTTGTATTGCAGGCAGCTATGTTTAGTCCTAGCTTATTAAACGATGGTTCCTCGTCCTTCATAGAAATCCTTCTCTTTGATAACGTTGTCATGGGACACAAAGTAACTGCAGGAAACTGCAGACCCTCTTGCGGATGATAAATATTCATGACGGTAGCAGTGGGGTAGGTAAAATATTTGTAGATGCTGCTGTATATGGAGAAAATTACATAGGCGGTGAAACCTAGTAAGAAAAAAATCCATACCAAACGCACCCACGGCGAAGCTCGGGTAAAAATGAAATGGAAACCATGGAGAGTACTATTTTCTGCAAAATCGGTCCATTTTTCTCGTCTCAGCTTTTCTTCTTTGTCTTGCTCAGCATGGCGTTGTATGAAGAATGTCTCTATAGGCGTGTCAACGTCTTTGGCTGAGGAAAAGAATTTAAGAATAGTATTTATCACATGTTAACAAAAACCTACCTCATGACACGGTATTGACGGGGAACAAAATCGATCTCGATACAATGAAGATCACTCTATGCACCGGGCAAGTTATTTGGGACAAGATATGGGATGGGGGAGGGGGGGGGGTGGTCCTGCCAGGGCTGCTTACCCACGATATAGGGACAGGATAGATGAGCTAGTCTGTGGTTTAGTGTTTTGTTTAGTTTCAGGAAGATGAAGAGTACGATAGTTAGGGCCAGTTCACATGGAAGTGGGGGACCTCGAGCAGGTGAGGTCCCCTCCTTGGTGGGGTGACCAATCTATCCATACAATCTCTCTTTCTTTCTTGATCGCGTTCACATATTAGGTGGGGTACCCCACCACGGTGAGCCGGTACGGGTAACCCACTTCGGTGGGTTGAGTTTTCTCCATGTGTAAACTGCGGAGTGGGATAACCCGCCCAACCGGGGTAATCAAATCATTGCGCCAAAGCCCGCCAAAACACATGGCGGAACAACATGGCTGCCATTCGCTACTAGTGTGGCCAGTTATTTCGACGATTTCACCCCCAAACCGCTAAAGCCCTGATAAAATTGACAGTGCTGGCGACACTTAAGCGTGGAATCGGATAGTGAGGCTAACCAGCGGAATCGAGCTGAAGTTTTTCCTGCAACAACGAAATTCAAGCGAAAAGCAGCTTCATCGGAACAAACGAAAAAAGCAAACGATAGTTTCTTGTTTATGCGCGTGCTTAGCGACAGCGCGATTCCATTTTGGACCTCACTCCGCGTCCCTGGGGTTGCATGTGAAGACAAGCTACGTATTTCCTTATTTTACCACGGGTAGGTGAGGTACCTCACCTCCCCGGGGTCCCCCGCTTCCATATGAACAGGCCCTTACTCACCCACACAGGCCTTATTCCCAAGGTAACCTCCGGCTCATATTAGGCATGGCACCGAGTTCTTCCGCGGGCAATATTACCACACGCGTTGCATGGATATTTTCGAGTTCGAGGAGGATGACAATGCGTGTAGAGTCGCTCAGACTGTCCACTGGTACAAATTCGTCTATTTCTAGATCCCCTCCCCTCTCCCCTACTCAACTCTTTTGCCCTTCACCAGGCTCTCTTGTTAGAGTGGGAGTGATATAACTGGTAAGTTTAAACTAAATAGGAAAATTTCGATACATTAAAATTCTAATGTGGCTCCGAGTCTTAGCGGAATAAAAACAAAATAAATCACATCGACGTTGAGGGATGAATACTTAATTTCCTTTCCGTTTTAATCCCTTAACCCGGGTTTTAATAAATCGAAATTGGCATATAATCAGGTGAAAGAAAATGGAACTGTTCCTCTTATTAAGGTTTTTCATCAGTCAAAAGAAATTGCAAATGATTAATATGAACCTCAATTAATTAATCATATTGTATCCTCGATAGGAGCTCGTAAGGTCAGTTAAAATGGTTATTTCTTAGGTTTGTAATGAAACAAAACACGGCATGATCCATGCAACCTCCTCCAGTTCACTGCCATCCATAATATCCATTATAAGTCTGAGCAGGTTTTCAATGTCCTGTGAGTTTATCAGCATTTTATAAACGGAAACAATAGAAAGAGCCGCTTTCTCAGTTTGGACGGAATCTGATGGTTAACCTCACTGCACCTTTCCCTCCAAGAAAAATTGCTATGACTATGGCTATGACTGTAAGCGACGTAAACCTAGGGAGTACATGACAAACATGCCTGACTTTTAGTGGCTCTAAACTAAAAACTCATTCTGACCAATCACAAATGAATTAAAGAGCGTGCGTTTTTCTCCTCACACTATTAAATACGGATTTAATATTATGGAAAACAAATTCTACAGTGACATAATGTGCCTGCAATGTAAGGTTCCAATTTGATGTCGGGATTTAATACTGATTTACTCGTTGTAAATTAAAGTTCACCGGCCAGTTTATTGACGACCACTGACAGTTACAATTCGATCAGTGTTTGCACAAATGCCATCTCCTCCCAGAACTGAGCAAATACAATAACAGCTGCAAATGAGATTAATATTTTATATGCTATTGGAAAGAAAACGGCACTTAATTCCCCGAGAGCTTTGAATAAATTTGAATTTCATCACCTTGCGTAGCGTGTCTTTATTCAAGTGTTGTAGCTAGATTGATTATGATTTCACTTATTCTAGAACGCTGGCTAGATATCTCGGGCATTTCTTCCTAAATTTAATTTGTTTTGATACTTATGCTAAATCATGTTCTTGTCAGTATAATTGTTTTTTTTTTTTCTTGTACGTCGGGACAAAACTAATGCACAATATTAACTGAAGCGAGGATCAACATTTTTCCTGTTTCAGTTCGATTTACATTTAGCCGCATGTTCTCTAGATTTTAATGTGGACGATTACTTGATTCGTCGCTGGGTCTAGTTTTACTAATGTAGCGATGAAATCGAGAACATAGTTTACATGTATGTACAAATGTCACAACAAAATACTGGTTTCGGCCACAACAAAGTTTGTCTGGGCGTAACACAATCATTACGCGTGCTTTATCCTCCGGTTCCATTGAATTCACAAGAATTAATGGGTTTTCCACCAATTCAGTCTGATTCACCAGTGCAGTTCTAAATGGTGTGTGATAAGTATAAACTTCAATTTAAAAACCTGATTTGAGTTTCTTCTTACCTGAGCCAGAACTGTTTAGTCCATCATCGTCTGAAGTAAATTTGACCACCGGATCGCTTGAAGTAGTGGTAATGTTATGAAAACGAGCGGCCTTCGTTTGGCTTTCCGTTGTATTAGCGCCAATAGCCTTCCTGTAGCTGGGTTTCCTTTCTGGAATTTGATCATTTGCCATTTTACGGCTATATTCTGTTTCCATAATACCTCTGAAGCAAGCTCGCGTGACGCTTTGTTGTCATTGGTATTCAAGTCACGACATTTAAAATGTTTTCATTCGTCCCCAGCCCTCTTTCGCAAAGATTGTACTGCGACGGAAATTTCATATTTTTTTTTCCCGTTTTTCCTACCTTAACTTCATTTTTTGAGCCTAAATATCTGGAAACAGTGTAATTTTCTTCAACCTGGCAACATGATTTCCTAAAACAAGCATCATTAAATCGTAGAAGACACGTCCATCCACCATTGCTCAAAGAACGAATCTTAAACCTGAAAAAGCCCGCAAAATTACTACAGCGGGTTTTTTTTTGCGGCGTCATTGTCAAAACACGTGATACAGCAGAACAAATAAAACCTCCTCAGAATACCATCATTTCCGTTTTCCACTCAATGTACCTTTCAAACGCAGAGTTTTCGAATTCGAGTGTATGGAGGACGGCTTGAGCGCGAAATTACAGTCAAGTTTATTGGACTAATCTGTTTGAATTTTGTCTTAAGGCTTGGAACAACTGTTATAATTAGGGTTTGAACGTTGAGTATTCATCATTCATTTTGTCACAGCAAAAGTTTTGCCTCCCTGAACCTTGTGCTTGGTATACCCTGTATAAATTCAATCTAATATTAGATTGAATTTATACAGGGTATACCAAGCATAATAGGTTGATTTTAATACTGTACGTCGTCTGAAAAAACACAAGATTATGATATACTGATCAAGTGAAAACATTGCTGACGAATAACTTCATTATCTTTTAATGAGGTCGACAAATTTTGCTAAAAAATGAAAATGGCATCAAACATTAATAGATACGTACTGTACGAGCCACATTTAATTGAATGATTCCAGGATCAAATTTTCAAATTTGAAAATCTAAAACTCGGTTTGATTACATTAAAGTTTTGCTACCTTGTTATTATGAATACTTTCTTTGCTTTAACAGAGAAACAAGAGCATGTACCTACTATGATGTACTTATTTTTTCTATCTTTTTTTTTGTTTATTGTTGTAAAGAAAAAAATCGTACGTGTGGTCTGATCAAAAGGCACTGAAACGTGCTGATAACATTTCAATTGCTTTTTGTGTTAGTCCCACGGCAAATTAAACAAACTTAACCCCCAGCTAACGTTTAATTAACCTTGTTGACGAAAGTTTTGAAGCACACAAACCAAACAAGTTTTTCTTTTAATCTTCACATTTTGTTGCTTAAAATGTTAGTTTCCCTTCTTGACGACGCAAACTTCACAAGCGAGCTGTCACTATTTTGCTTGCGAGGCTGATAAAGCAGAGTGGTTTCTATTAGAGGTCAGCGTGCCACGCAGCGTTTCCTAGATCGTAGAATAGACCAAAAAACAAACAAACAAACAAACAAAAAAACTATTCAATTTATTTCTCAGCATGACAGCCATATTGTTTTGTGTTGGCTTGTTCATTTGTAAACAAGACTAAATTAACTTTGACCACTATAAACAAGACCGTAGTCAGTAGAGCATAATTTTTTTGTTACGCATTTATAATTAGATGTGGTTTGAATTATTTAGCATTTGAACTAAATAAAACTGAATGATATATGACACGGTGTCCGTGTGTCAGTATCAGCCAATTTTCGATGACTTTCCACCTCCCCCTTCAACATGGTATATCTGTTGCCTTTGAGCATAAGCCTAGGTAAGCTAAGAGGGGAAAATGGCCTTTTCTAACCTTCACTGTTTTCGCTCGGAATGTTTTGCCATTGTTCCAGCTGGGCAGAAAGAACTTTGCAATCTTTCATACTGAGTTATACCGAACCATCCGTTGTCCAAGGATAGAAGTGATTGACTGAATACAAAATACATATGAATTAATTATGAATGAAAAGTACTGAAAGTTACAGATGTTTGAAACGCTAGAAAATCAATTTAGTGCAGATTTTATTCTCAGAGTGCTAAACAGAGCGGAACAGTTTTCATCCTGATATTTACAACAAGGTAAATTTGTCTAAGGTTTCATTCTTCACAAAATTATTTACACTTAGCTTACTATGAATAATCTCTCCATGCGGAACCCCGACTCACAAAGTCGCAAAAACAGAACAAACACTGGTTGACTGATTTTCCGGCTATATCCAGCGAATTGTCACTAGGCACGCAAAATGTCACAAGCATTCAACTTTTGATGAAAAGATAAGAGAAGGGACCGAACGAAAAAATGTATATATGTTTACTACCTCGGTCAGCTGGTAGTGAGCGCCGTCCATTTTACAGAAGTCAGAGAAAATTTCTTTTTCCGTTTGTTTTTCTTTCTAATCTTTTCTTAACTTCTTTTTCTTTTTCTTTTTCTTTTTTTTTTTTTTTTTTTTTTGTGGACACTCAACACATTTTAACTCATTTTGGGTTTTCTACTGATAATTCATTTAAAGTTTTCTATAAAAGTATATTTCTAACAAAGCTCTTAAAGGTTACAGTAGTTGGCGTTGAGCATAGCTCAATCAAACCCATAGTAAGCCAGAGTTACCCTTTAAACACAACTGTCAAAAACTAGAGGTTACAAATTATGTCTGTCAACAGTTCTTGTGCATTTTGAGAAGGAATCCACCGCAAGTCCGAGTAACCAGCGGATAAAAATTTGAACCGAAGTTAATAATTATAATAATAATAATAATAATAATAATAACAATTTTATTAATAATATTAATAATTATATTAGTAATGGTAATAATGATAATAATAGTAATAATAAATACTTAATTTATACTGCAAAAAATAGATTAGCTGAATTTAAATACAAGGACAGCTGGTATAAAACTATGTGCAGTTGATAAAATATTTCAAATAGTGTTAACAATAAAAACGTTATTTGAAAAATTTAAAGTTATCTACATTGCAAGTTAGTCTTCTGCGGTACTATTTTAAACATCCGCTCGAAAAAAATCATTTCTAAAAACGCGAAATGTCGAAAACAAATTTTGAAGTATCTAAAAATAGAGACATAAAAATATGATAAAGAGTTACTCATATGAAACACTTGAAAGTACATGTACTGGTGAAGTGAAACTGATGATGAAATTCTACATGTGATTACGCAATATCTCTCAACTTTGAAATTCATTTTCTCGAGTTCCAGTGGGAAATTGTTTTTGGCGTTATTTCAGGCAACTATTCATATTTCATATCTGGTACAAGGTTTTTGTCCATTAAAAACTGAAACTGCTCGATTTCCTATCGGATTCCTTCTTTCAAAAAGATAAAAAAGATAATTTAAAAATTATATCAAATATGTTAGAATGTCCCGAGGGGTACTCCCAGAAAAATTACAAACCCTTACCCTATTTACGACCAAATTTGCGATTTTCCCTACCCTATTTATGACCCTACCTGAAAAAGTAACTACTTCTAAAAACCATACCCAGCCGGCAAGACCAGAGCGCAAAAACCATAACCTATATCTAAGACCCAGATGGCCAAATCGATACCCTATATAGCTATTTATGACCAGACGGCTTAAAACCGTAACCTTTGGTGCCGCCCATACCCATATATGTCATACAAGGGAGTACATACCCCCTCGGGTAGAATGCACTGTTTGTTTTTGCGTTGCTATAACTGACGGATAAATACTCAGCTCCATTAGATATAGAGCCGTAAACCTTCCTCACTGACAAAGCTATTCTTCTCTATATTTGTAGAGACAGCTATTTGTTGCTGCCATGCCTGTTATTCAAGTGAAACCGATTTCACTTGACCTCCCTACTGATTCTACGAAGAGAAACGTGGAGCCTGAAAAGTCATCGCAGTCTTCCAAATGGAAAGACTTTGCCTCGAACACAACTCTTCACGGACTGCGATACATTGTCCAAAACGGGCTTTCCATTCACAGGCGAGCGTTATGGCTGACATTCCTTTGCGCTTCTGCCAGTTTCTATACTTATAACGCAACCATAAGCTTTGGGAAATTCATGTCAAGACCTACAAAGACAGTAATTACACAAGAAACGCCAACTGGCGGCTTGAAGTTTCCGTCAGTGACCATCTGCAATTTAAACAAGTTTATGAAATCCAAGATAGATATGGCAGATGACAATGAAAACTTTATAAAAATGGGATTGAACATAAGTGGATGCCATGAGACGCGAGAGGTTCGAGGAAATCTCACTTGTGGCCAAGCATTCCTGTGTGCTTATTACATATATGGCCCGGCTGTTGTAAATGGCTGTAATGAAACCACGCGCCAGAACATAATCAATGTTCTTACTGGCTCATCAAAGCGTTTACTGGACGAAGAAAAATTTCTCACCAACTATGGGCATGACTTTGTTGGCTTGTGGTTTAAGTATTGTAGCTTCGCTTCTCTAGGGCCATGCTCTGAAAAAGACTTCGTTCGGACTCTTACAGCAAGGTTCATTTGTTATACATTCAACTCTGGGCATAATGAATCCGGTACGATGTTCTATTCGAAATTTGAAGGACCCGACCTTGGCCTCAACATTATTCTGAATGTTCAAACTAATGAAAGCACACTGAGTGACTTTTCAACCGGATTAAAAGTGATTGTGCACAATCAAAAAGCATTTGTTAACCCAAATAGTGGATTTAACATATACCCGGGTACTCATGCGACAGTTGCGCTCAAGTTAAGGGAGGTTAGTTGAAGACTTTACTCCTCAAATGCTAAGGACGTATACCGTTTTTGTATACAGACACTTATGACCTCATTTGACACTTATGACCTCATTTGAAAGAATCCGATAGGAGATCGAGTAATTTCAGTTTTTTGTGAAAAAAATCTTGTATCAGAATAACTTTAAGTATATTACAGTCCTTTTTGCATTTCCTAGAAGCTAAAGATTTAAATAGTTGCCTGAAATACAAATGTAGTATCAAAAACAATTTCCGATGGGCCTGACTCGAGAGAATGAATTTCAAAGTTTAGAGAAATGTGCAAACACAGGTATAATTGCATCATCAGTTTCATTTAAACCAGTACTTGCAAGTTTTTCATGCGGAGTTCAAAATTTGTTTGTTACATTTGGTGTTGTTAGCAATGATTTCTTTTTAGAAGATATTTGAAACAGTGGCACAGAAGTCTGCAATACAATGTAAATAACTTCGGTATAAAGGCTTTGTCTGCTTGTTACACGAACTTCTGGTGGAGTCTTTCTTAATTAGTATAGTTTGGTTTTTCCACCAAGACCCAAAGAGGGGAGAAAGGAGTTTGACTCTAATGTTACCACGGTTTAAAGAAATCTCAAATGTATCTAAACAAGGCGAACATGGATAACGATATTCTCACTGAAGTAAAGCAGGATTACAGTACTGTAGGTTAGTTGGTTAGAAACAATTGGCTATAGCTACTTACTCATTCAAAATTCTGTTCAATCATTTTCAGCACAAAAGACTTCCAGCACCTTTCGGAACAAACTGCAGCACCAAGGACCAGTTGCCTGGAGTAGGTACTTACACAAAGGACGGCTGTATTTACCAATGTCTTACAAATCTGACGTCCCATCAGTGTGGATGCCGTATACCTGGTTTTCCAGGTACGATTTTACAACCACTACTGCAACAACTACTACTGGTATTGATCCTGCTACTGCTACTGTTACTACTACTGCTACTGCTCCTGCTACTGCTACTGCTACTGCTCCTGCTACTGCTCCTGCTACTGCTCCTGCTACTGCTCCTGCTACTGCTCCTGCTACTGCTCCTGCTACTGCTCCTGCTACTGCTCCTGCTACTGCTCCTGCTACTGCTCCTGCTACTGCTCCTGCTACTGCTCCTGCTACTGCTCCTGCTACTGCTCCTGCTACTGCTCCTGCTACTGCTCCTGCTACTGCTCCTGCTACTGCTCCTGCTACTGCTCCTGCTACTGCTCCTGCTACTGCTCCTGCTACTGCTCCTGCTACTGCTCCTGCTACTGCTCCTGCTACTGCTCCTGCTACTGCTCCTGCTACTGCTCCTGCTACTGCTCCTGCTACTGCTCCTGCTACTGCTCCTGCTACTGCTCCTGCTACTGCTCCTGCTACTGCTCCTGCTACTGCTCCTGCTACTGCTCCTGCTACTGCTCCTGCTACTGCTCCTGCTACTGCTCCTGCTACTGCTCCTGCTACTGCTCCTGCTACTGCTCCTGCTACTGCTCCTGCTACTGCTCCTGCTACTGCTCCTGCTACTGCTCCTGCTACTGCTCCTGCTACTGCTCCTGCTACTGCTCCTGCTACTGCTCCTGCTACTGCTCCTGCTACTGCTCCTGCTACTGCTCCTGCTACTGCTCCTGCTACTGCTCCTGCTACTGCTCCTGCTACTGCTCCTGCTACTGCTCCTGCTACTGCTCCTGCTACTGCTCCTGCTACTGCTCCTGCTACTGCTCCTGCTACTGCTCCTGCTACTGCTCCTGCTACTGCTCCTGCTACTGCTCCTGCTACTGCTCCTGCTACTGCTCCTGCTACTGCTCCTGCTACTGCTCCTGCTACTGCTCCTGCTACTGCTCCTGCTACTGCTCCTGCTACTGCTCCTGCTACTGCTCCTGCTACTGCTCCTGCTACTGCTCCTGCTACTGCTCCTGCTACTGCTCCTGCTACTGCTCCTGCTACTGCTCCTGCTACTGCTCCTGCTACTGCTCCTGCTACTGCTCCTGCTACTGCTCCTGCTACTGCTCCTGCTACTGCTCCTGCTACTGCTCCTGCTACTGCTCCTGCTACTGCTCCTGCTACTGCTCCTGCTACTGCTCCTGCTACTGCTCCTGCTACTGCTCCTGCTACTGCTCCTGCTACTGCTCCTGCTACTGCTCCTGCTACTGCTCCTGCTACTGCTCCTGCTACTGCTCCTGCTACTGCTCCTGCTACTGCTCCTGCTACTGCTCCTGCTACTGCTCCTGCTACTGCTCCTGCTACTGCTCCTGCTACTGCTCCTGCTACTGCTCCTGCTACTGCTCCTGCTACTGCTCCTGCTACTGCTCCTGCTACTGCTCCTGCTACTGCTCCTGCTACTGCTCCTGCTACTGCTCCTGCTACTGCTCCTGCTACTGCTCCTGCTACTGCTCCTGCTACTGCTCCTGCTACTGCTCCTGCTACTGCTCCTGCTACTGCTCCTGCTACTGCTCCTGCTACTGCTCCTGCTACTGCTCCTGCTACTGCTCCTGCTACTGCTCCTGCTACTGCTCCTGCTACTGCTCCTGCTACTGCTCCTGCTACTGCTCCTGCTACTGCTCCTGCTACTGCTCCTGCTACTGCTCCTGCTACTGCTCCTGCTACTGCTCCTGCTACTGCTCCTGCTACTGCTCCTGCTACTGCTCCTGCTACTGCTCCTGCTACTGCTCCTGCTACTGCTCCTGCTACTGCTCCTGCTACTGCTCCTGCTACTGCTCCTGCTACTGCTCCTGCTACTGCTCCTGCTACTGCTCCTGCTACTGCTCCTGCTACTGCTCCTGCTACTGCTCCTGCTACTGCTCCTGCTACTGCTCCTGCTACTGCTCCTGCTACTGCTCCTGCTACTGCTCCTGCTACTGCTCCTGCTACTGCTCCTGCTACTGCTCCTGCTACTGCTCCTGCTACTGCTCCTGCTACTGCTCCTGCTACTGCTCCTGCTACTGCTCCTGCTACTGCTCCTGCTACTGCTCCTGCTACTGCTCCTGCTACTGCTCCTGCTACTGCTCCTGCTACTGCTCCTGCTACTGCTCCTGCTACTGCTCCTGCTACTGCTCCTGCTACTGCTCCTGCTACTGCTCCTGCTACTGCTCCTGCTACTGCTCCTGCTACTGCTCCTGCTACTGCTCCTGCTACTGCTCCTGCTACTGCTCCTGCTACTGCTCCTGCTACTGCTCCTGCTACTGCTCCTGCTACTGCTCCTGCTACTGCTCCTGCTACTGCTCCTGCTACTGCTCCTGCTACTGCTCCTGCTACTGCTCCTGCTACTGCTCCTGCTACTGCTCCTGCTACTGCTCCTGCTACTGCTCCTGCTACTGCTCCTGCTACTGCTCCTGCTACTGCTCCTGCTACTGCTCCTGCTACTGCTCCTGCTACTGCTCCTGCTACTGCTCCTGCTACTGCTCCTGCTACTGCTCCTGCTACTGCTCCTGCTACTGCTCCTGCTACTGCTCCTGCTACTGCTCCTGCTACTGCTCCTGCTACTGCTCCTGCTACTGCTCCTGCTACTGCTCCTGCTACTGCTCCTGCTACTGCTCCTGCTACTGCTCCTGCTACTGCTCCTGCTACTGCTCCTGCTACTGCTCCTGCTACTGCTCCTGCTACTGCTCCTGCTACTGCTCCTGCTACTGCTCCTGCTACTGCTCCTGCTACTGCTCCTGCTACTGCTCCTGCTACTGCTCCTGCTACTGCTCCTGCTACTGCTACTGCTACTGCTACTGCTACTGCTACTGCTACTGCTACTGCTACTGCTACTGCTACTGCTACTGCTACTAATACTGACTGATTTCGGTTCTCTTGTGTGGTCCTTTCAAAAACAAAAAGACAATATTTCACTGTCTTTGGTTTTTTATGTCTATGTTCCCCCTCTTCTAATTTCCTTTTGGCATCGGGGTATTAGACCCTCCCCACCCACTCCGCCTTGAAATAGTCCAAAGGAAACATCATGTGACAAGAAACAGATCATCAATATATTGAAGTTTTTAATTTCAAAATTTAGGGAGAACCTCACTCTTCGCCTCCTCTCGTCCTTCCCTCCCTAAGCAAAATAGTGACAAATATATCTTAACAGGAAGGCATCATTTGTAAATTTAACAAATCGAACGTTGTTTAGCGTTGTCTGTACTCTTATCGACAACGAGTACACGTCATCACAGTGGTCAAAATGTAGTAGACTCACGAGGCGCAGCCGAGGGAGAGAGAAAAATCTATTCTAAGTTCACACATGTATGATTTAATTTTTCGTATGTATATGTCCATGTAGATGTGAGGCAGTTCCCTGTGTGTTCTAGTTTTCGAGACGCTGCATGTATTGGAAATGCTGCAAGTAAGATAACTTAATACATTTCTATGCTTGTGCCACGATTGACGAACTTATGTTTAATTAGTACCGATGATGTAAGAAATTTGAATCTCTTGATGAGAACATTCTTGCAGATGTAAGAATGTTTCTGAGAAAATTTTATACCAACCCTATGACTAGAATAGATTAGTAGCTATGTATGACAGCTACGCAAATAGATGAAGAAAAACAAAATCATTGAGCAACATTTCCGATTTTGAATCATAACTGACCGGGGAGTCTGCAAAGTTGAAAAAAATTTCATTTGAACACTTAAGGTGGCTCAAAACAGTTCCCAACACTTTCCAAGACGTAGGTTTCTATGGTTCATTATAACCATTCTTTATCAATTGATGCTACAATCATAGTATCAAAAAACTGCCCAATCATTGTTGAACATGTTGTTATCATTTCCATGACCCAATAGGTTACTATAGCAAGAGTATAACCTGCTACAAACACCCTTAATTATAGCTTTAAGGGCGTATAATTTAAAAACAGCACAGTGAATTTTTTTTATATTACCAAATTTTGATAAGCAGGATAAGACAGAACTTTTGGTAAAGTTTAAAAAAATCTGTGCATGGAGTTCAGAGCCACCTTACAGCTTTGAATATTTAAGGTGGTTCTGAACCCTATTACATGACTGAGAAAATTTCTTCATTATGATTGACGAGAAGAGCAGAGAAATTTATCGCCCATTAAAGCCCATGAAACTTTCTCAGTCACAAACTGGAATTTCAGTGGAAGCTGACCCCGGGAAGCCGAGATAAGTGATCGTAAGGCGGTAAGGACCACTGAGCCAATTCGGCGCTGCGCGCTTTGTTGGCTATCTATCATCTCCTATCCAACACGCGCTTGTGGAATAATTATTAAATATCACTGTGAGCTCAGAGATTTTACTTTGTGTCAAATTTTCAGTGGACGCCAACTTGACAGAGTGCCAATGCCACAACCCATGCTCTGAACTTGAGTATGAGTCACGTGTTTCTTACTCCAAATTTCCACATTCTTCTGTGATTAAAGTAATGCATCATCTCTTTGGGAAAAGCATCAGTGACAGCTACATGCAGTAAGTGTTTTAAAAACCAGTAAACGAAAAACTGCATTTTAACTTTGTTTGAAGCAAGAATGCAGGGGAATGGGGAGGGGGAGTTCTGTCTATTGTATAACATTATTTGAATTATTCGTTCATGTACCAAGTTTTAACGATAGCCTGTTTAACAAATCTTGACAAAAGGTCTCCGCAGTTGTAATTAATCTCTGACAAAGATTTTTTTATTATTATTTCCTCTTACATTGTCGTCATGTCATACTACGTACTGTAGACAGAACTTTGTCTACCTTCAAGTAGGCTTTCAGCATTTGTCCTACGAAAAGCGCCAAGATCTTGCCAGCTACGGACCAGAGAGCCTTTTCGGTGAGTGAACGATTAATTAGACCTGCGTAAAGGACATTGTTGGATTGAACGATTGACAGCTATTTATGGAAAGACACACTTACCTACCTTCAACAAAATAGGCCATTTCCGAGTTACAATGTGCCTCTGTTTCACAACGAGTCTTGGCGCGAAACCTTTCATATGAAAATGAGTTTGATTTGCATAAAAATGAACCTGTTGGGGAAACACATTTTCATATGAATGATTTCGTACGAAGGCTCCTTCTGACCCTGAGGCACAAGGTAACTCGGAAATGGCCTATTGTGGATGCAATGGCCAATGACACGGAACAAGGAAACTTTAAGACCTTTTAAGGAGCCATTCTTTAAACGCAAAGTAGTCAAGGCCACACCAGTGGTATAGGTTAAGTCTTTAATTAGAAAAGGGCATAGAGTAGACCTTTTTCATAAAAGGTTGTCAATTATAATTTTCTTTTTGTATTAAAATTACCCTAAATTGCCTTTTTCCAATTATAACTCAAATTAAATGATTTCTACCCTCAAACGAAGTTAGTGAGGATAGTTTTAATGTGTAAAAAAGAATTTTAAACTGGGCAGCCATTTATGAAAAGTTTTATTACTACATGTGAAGAAACTTTTGATATCATCAATGTGAGATAATTCTGCACCCTCTAAATTTGAAAACGAAGGTTTCATTCTGAAAACGTATCAAGTGTTTTCCGTCCACACTATGCCGGCGGAATTTAAAAACGCAGCGATCACCGGTAATTTTGTATTTGCGTTTGAGGAAACTCGTTCAGGGAAATCACATGATTATCGTAATGTCATCGTTTTCGAAAAACTCTGTTTTCAAAATGTTTTCCGTCCACGCGAAATCCAACAGCCGGTGTTTTGAAATTCCTCCGGTTTGATGAGCGTTTTCGAAAAGCTCCGTTTTCCTGGCGCATTAGTGTGCACGGTAGGCCTAACCATAGAAAAAAAAGCTGCGCTTTCAAATTTCTTTGGCTGGACGGGGCCTAGATTGGTGCCTAGTCCTTATATCTGTGCTAATACTGTCACTGCAATTTGTCACAGGTGAGCTTGGTGGCAATATGGGCTTGCTCCTTGGATGCAGTTTAATGACGCTCTTCGAGTTCATTGACTTCCTGTGGGAAGTTGTAACGTCCAAGATACGGAAGCGTTCGAGGAGTGAGGACACTCAACCTAACAACGGCTATTATTAAACAATTCTGATGTCATCGTATGGCACTAGAGTTCTGACAGCCCCGCTCGGATCGATGTTGTAGTGTCTCTTACTTTGTAATTCAGCTAGGAAGGATACAGATGCTCTAGTGTTACTTACACCATAGTTAAGAGAGAGGAATGGTTAAGAAGCGCGTAAACATCAAAGAAGCAAACAAGCAGGCTAAGATTTATGTTGGAAGGTTCTTGATCCGGCAAATCTTTTGTTTTATCTTCATTGACTATATGCACGAATAACATAATCGTAAAGATTCTATTGGTTAGTTGTCTGAGCACCACCATTTTGTATTTTGCCAGGTTTTGTGCAGGGTCAAGCCCCAAAATCTCATCTCACTCTATCCCTCATCGTGCTCTGTAGGACACCTATGGCCATTCAGAAACGCCTTTTACCCATTTCAGTCTCTCGCTGACAGCCATCCCATCTCCTTTCGCTCTCTCTCTACCCCGCTCCTCCAGGTCGTCGGTGGCCTGCCTGGTCTTCTTTTGCCTCCTAGATTAGGGATGCCCAGGTCAGTGCAGTTCTGCCGATGTTATTGCAAGAACTGTTATTGATGTTATTCTGATCCCCAAAAGACCCAAAAAAGAAAACATACAACAAAGAACTTTGCCAGGTCTCTTAACCATTTTAACTCTATTAACTATGCTTACACTTTGTAAAAATACGTTTAGTACAATAGCATTAACATGTGCAAGTTATCCTAAATCATTTTCCTTCCTACGTTTTAACAACCATGTATAAACCTAGTTGTCATGATTATTTTGGGGCTTCAATCCATTTTAACGGCTCTTTTCACCTTAACAGATAGCACATTTAAATACAGCTGCATATAAAACGTGTACAAAGATAAGCATGTGCAACTACATTCTAATATGCCGAATTATTCTCGCATTGTGATTCGGCTCTTGCATCGTGATTAACATTTTTTGCTTCTTTATTATTTAAAACAAATAGATTCCCTGTTGATGTGCGTCTGTTCAGTAATAGATCATGGAAGACGTCAAAATGTAGTTAGAACAACTGTCATATACCTCACTCTCGTCACGACCCGTGTACCAATTTTGTGTTCTTACGGTCTAACACATTTTAAACGTCATATGTGATCTATTACTGAACAGACACAGGGCAGCATGGAATCTATTTGTTTAGTCACTATTTCATAAACATGTATAATACTTACATGTAGTCCGAGGAACTGCTAAGCTTTACGAAGTCTGCTATGATATATACAAGTTAAAAAGGTAAAGTCTGCATACGAGCCATGTGGTTCATCAGTCCGGAGCTTCTACCGGTTTTTTGGAATACGAAGCGATTAGGAGTATTTCTACTTCCCCCTGGGTGGAATGCTAGTCCATCGCAGGGTTACCCCCCAGCATTAAATTCGCCGCTGCCCATTCATACGCCTGGGTGAAAAGATTCACTGTAAGATTCAAAGTGTGTTGCCCAAGAACATCACAACACAGTGACCCCGGCCAGGGCTCGAAGGGTTCGAACTCGGACCACCCGAAGTCGAGCGCACTAACCATGAGGCTACCGCGCCCCAACAATATATATGAACGTGAACATACTTTTTATCTATTTTTACCAGTTTATATGCAGCAAGTTCACAAGATCACAGCTCTACATGTAATTAATAAAAGTGTCAAATGGAAAAAAAATATTTAATGTGAGATTTTATCAGGCCGTCTCTACTGAATAGGAACGTTTTATATAGGAGGGATCGTACGCTTTTATCACTCCTAACTAATATTTATTATATGGCTTTTGTGAATCACCGATGTAACGCGCGCTCTGATTGGGCATTATTCTCCCGTAATGCCCACGGCTAGATTACGGGCCTGCAAAAACAAAGCAAACAGCCATTTAATAAACAATTTATTAACCTGGAACGTTCGGTCTTTACGGAAAAATCTCAAACCACGGCCTTGCCGCATTGACCTCGCTATCGCTCGGTCAATACGGCAAGGTCTTGGTTTGAGGTTTTCTCGTAAAGACCTCACTCTCGGATAATAAGTAGTTAATAGTGAATGTACGCACCTTTTCGTTGCAAAGCACACTTCTCGAACTCATTATTAATTCATCAAGTTTAAGCAAAGGAAATCATGACCGTGACGGTGTTTGGACAGGAGAGATCGAACGGGGAATACTTTTATGAAGTTTTGAAACGGAACATAATCAAGCTTCGCATACCCCGTCACGACAGGAACCCTATTTCTTATTAGTCCTTTTTAATTGAAAATTACTCCGTGAGGCCTTTTTCAAAAAGTCATTTTTACTTTTACTTGACTTTTCAGGTCAGCTTTAGAGACATTAAAAATGGATTACCCTCTGCTTATCTCTAATCAAGTGTGGCCGTAAAATTTTGGCACATCCCTAACAGTCAAGTCTCCCCTTAACAAAGCAAATTTCAGCGCCAGTCAGAATATTCTTGAGTCATTGTAAACACTTCAAGGGAATGGTGGGCAAGGCTTTAATGTTGAGCTTTTATTTTTGTTTTCTTGCCCACAAAGCAGAGTTTTTGGATCACAAAATTAGAAGCGATGTTTTCTACAATTATGTCCATCAAAGCTACGTAGAACCTTGACCAACTGAATTTCGAAAATACCTCAACCTTAGAATATATGTTTTTCAAATACGTTTTTGAACTTCAATTGATTTTTAATTAAAATTTACTTCGTGAAAAAAAGAAGGAAAACACGCATAGATAATAATTTGACATTGATCTTATACCAAAAATAAAAGAGCTGTCAAAAAGAAATGGCTTAAGCTTGAAAATTCTACAATAGGAATCACCGCAAAACAGAACATATATGATATCTCAAATTTCCAAAACAAGGTATTTGTGGAAATTAATTCGCAGGAGTAATCCGCTAGAATTAACAAAGGCAGAAAACCGGTCTATGTTTAATCTGGAGGCGAAAACTGCCCCAGCTGAGCGAGAAAATAATTCTTAAATTCTTAATAATTTACAGCCATTGATTGAAGAAGACACTGGGTAAACTTTCTTGGTTATCAAACCTAAAATATAATATTCCTTGAAGGTCCAGGTGTTTTTTCAATATATTTATACAAAGGAAAGTAAACAGCGCTGATTTTTTTCTTCAATGATGGAGGGGAGTGATGTACTAAAAGGTTTGAAACAGTTTTCATCAACCAGAGGCCTATAATGACTCACTGATTTATTGCAAGGTAAATTGTCAGACCTCAATGTTTCATAGAATTATTTCTTACCTACAGATTTGTAGCATAAGCGTTTCATTCTGTTATCGAGCTTGAAACATGTTAGCTCTGAATACTGAACGTGCATGGTATTATCAACTACTGCTAGAAATAAGCGCCCCATGTTTTAAGTATTTATATTTTTTCTGTGACGCAAGTAAAAAAATCTAGGTTTTTAAAAGTATAGTCGTCATTTTTCATAACTCTTAATCCTGAACTGACCGAAATCCTCGAATAGTAGCGGAAGATCACTAGATGCCTATATGCTTTCCTTCTTATGCTATTTATGCATAAAATTAGGGAAAATCCTGTAATGTGGATGTTTTTTTTTTCTTTTTTTCACTGCGGCCCAATGATGAGTTTTTGAGATAAAGTGTATGGAAAAATACAAGCTTTGGAAAAATCGGCGCGAAAAACTCAGTAAGGTGTACAAAATTTAAATATTTTGAACATGAGTCAGTTGATTAGACTGAGGAAAAGTGTCTTTTTTATTTTACATGTATGTTAATTTAGACAGGTCGATCAGCAGCGACGGTGACAATCGAAAAGTTAAAATCCACGGAATAAAAATTGATCTGATGGCAAAAGAATTTTCTAGAAAGTTTGGCAAATCTCAAGCAATTTCCACCGGAATCAAGAATGTCCAGATTTAGAACTTAAAATGAAGCAAGACGCATAAGCAGCCATATTTCTTGAAGAAGGAACATGGAATAACTTTAATTTGCAATTTTCTATTCCCCCGGTTACGATTTTTGAGAAATCTGACCATGCGAAGTCTCCCCTTGTGATACACGTAGACTACTTCTTTTTATCGTCTTGATGCAAAAACTTGCCTTTTAAATTTGTCCTGCTCTTGCTTGCAAATGAATTTAAAACTCGAAGATCCAGTTTTTGTAATGCGATATTTTTCAATGTCTAGCACGGCAGCAGAGTGAACTATCTGTGAAAGGTCTTACTGACGAGCAGAGTACTGGTATAGTTCCCATTAAAAACTTTCAGCTTGCAAGTGAATATATGAAAGATCATATATTTGAACTGCGGAGAAAGATATGAAGACATGATTGATCATAACAATTATGCACATAACTTAAAAGCTTAAAGGCAGTTGTGAAATTAAAGGCTGAGAAAAAAAAAAATTCAGGCATGAACGGGATTCGAACCCGTGATCTCTGCGATATCGGTGCAGTGCTCTACCAACTTAGCTATCAAGCCAACTGGGAGCTGGTCACAATATTAACGTAGATGGTGAAGAATGCGAGGCATACATGAAGGATCATATTTTTGAACTACGGAGAAAGATACGAAGACATGATTGATCATCGTGGTTATACAATCAACTTAAGCAGTTGTGAGATTAAAGCCTAAAAAACCATACAGGCCTAGACGGGATTCGAACCCATGACCTCTGCGATACTGGTGCAGAGCTCTACCAACTGAGCTATCAAGCCAACTGGGAGCTGGTCATATTGTGAGTTCGTAATATACCCATGGTCATGGGTTCGAATCCCGTTTAGGTCTGAATTAGGCTTTAATTTGACAACTGCTTAGGTTGTGTGTATAACTGCGATGGACAATCACGTCTTCAAAAACTTATAACTTCTCGTAGTAATTCCTCATTGCCTGTTACTTTTACCTTCGAATTTCGCAATGATCTAGATCTGTTCAGTGTCCCTATCCAACGCCATCGATCAATTCCAAAAAGAAACACGACAAATCAGCGTCTTTACTTAAGTTCTCCTAAATACACAGAGCTTAGTCGTTTCATGTTGTTTTTTACAGGGGACAGCTACACAATTTATAAAGATTTGCAACACACGTGCACGTAAAGCTCATTGAACCTGTCTCGGGGCGTTCACCTACCGTTGCCGTCGTGGTTCGTTTAGGTTCCCAATTGTTTTGAAGGGTCACATTCTTGTCATCTTTACCTGCAGACACAGTATGGTTACACAAGCTAAACCGGCTGACTCGTTCACAAATTCTCCATTGGAAAAAGTGGAGTCTGAAAGATCATCGCCGTCATCCGAATGGAAAATTTTTGCCTCAAACACAACTCTTCACGGACTGAGATACGCTGTACAAAACGAGCTTTCCATTCCCAGGCGAGCAATATGGCTGATATTCCTTTGCGCTGCTGCCAGTGCCTACACGTACAACGCAACCGTAAGCTTCGAAAAATTCATGTCAAGACCAACAAAAACAGTAATTACACAAGAAACGCCAACAGATGGTTTGAAGTTCCCAGCTGTGACAATCTGCAATTTAAACAAGTTTATGAAATCTAAGATAGATGTGCCAGACGAGGATGAAAACTTTGTAAAAATGGGATTGAACATAACTGGGTGCAGTGAAATACGCGAAGTTCGTGGAAATCTCACTTGTGGCCAAGCATTACTGTGTGTCTGTGGTGATTATGGTTATGCCTTAGTAGATGGCTGCGACAAGACAACTCGCCAAAACATACTCAACATTCTTAATGACTCATCGAAGCGTTTGTTTGACGAAGAAAAATTTCTTGCAAACTATGGACATGACATCGCTGGCATGTTTCTTCTATACTGTCGCTTCTCCATTGATCAAACGTGCTCGGAAAAAGACTTTGTTCCGAGCCTTACAAGAAGAGGCATATGCTACACATTCAACTTGGGTTATGATAACTCCACCATGTTCCACGCTGAATTTGAAAGTCCCGAACTGGGCCTCAGTGTCGTTCTTAATGTTCAAAGCAATGAGAGCACCCTTGGTATGTATTCAACCGGATTGAACGTGATTGTGCACGATCAGAAAACGTTTATCAACCGGTATAATGGATTTAATATCCTTCCTGGGGCTCATTCCTTGGTGGCGGTCAAGTTAATAAAGGTACGTTGTTGCCAGTATCAGCACATTTGACAGTTTATTAAGAACCTGAAGAAGTGGAGGGGAGAGGGGTGGGGGTTGAAGTACCGTAATGATAAAGGCTCTCCTAGATGCGCCGAAAGATGTGACGCTTTTAGTTTGGTATTGTAGCGTGAATAATTTAGGTAGTTTTTGAAGAAATTCCCTCCTTCAAATACTAAGAACCAGCCAGTTTACCGTCAAAGCTAGTCTTTATGTAATTCTAGGGCTGCCCCTAAGATGCTCCAAAGTTTTAAAAAAGGTGCCCAAATTTTCTCAAAAAGTTGCTTCAAAGTTTCCCCCAAAATGAAAAAAAGAATTGCTCCAAACCCGTCACGTTGCTTTTCATATTTTCTACAAAAGGTTATTATTTACCCCACCAAAGAACCTGTTTAACTGTTCCTTGACCCCTGAGCATTTAATAACCTGATAAAACGAGTTGCAACCTTTTTAGTATTTCCGGTCACATACTCAAGCATGAGGAGTGGTACTCCGCCATTTTGAATTTATCAACCGACCGCTGACCACTTGAATCGTCTTTTCAAACCACAGGTGAACCAATGCGGACAATGCATATGTGACGGTTGTGACCAAAAAGCATTTGTGACCAAAAAGCATTTGTGACCAAAGAGCATTTGTGACTAAAACATGCATTTTATGAACTTGACGTTTTCTTTAGTCAAGCTACGATGGCCGAAGACCACGAGTTTATATAATACTGCTCCATAAGTGCTTCATATGCCAGTTTGGTCTGTTATAATTTTGCAGTATTGTCATAGACCATAAGCTTCATAATCTTACAAGCTTCAAGAAAATCGATTTTTAAACATTTTATGGACATTTATAAGGAATTGGACCATTTTATCACCTAAATTGTTAATTTTCTTGTTTTAATTGTTAGACTTGAGCCAATGCTTTGCTTTTTAAAAATTTTAGTGTGTCTCATATCTTAGTTTTTATATTATCATTGCATGTTTGAGATTCTTTCTATCTTTTCAATTTTTAACACGTCATCTTTTTATTCTGTATATATTTATATCAGGGCCACTGGTTTTTCAGTGACTACCGTTATGTACTACCATGATAAAGAAAGTAGATTATTATTATTATTATTATTATTATTATTATTGTTACTGTTACTGTTACTGTTACTGTTACTGTTACTGTTACTGTTACTGTTACTGTTACTGTTACTGTTACTGTTACTGTTACTGTTACTGT